TAATACTTTCATTTAGCAAGGATGCTTTAAATTGATCAAAAGTGATGATAAAGACATTTATAATGTTACAAAATATCTCTATTTCAGATAAATGCTGTTCTTCTGAACTTTATATTCATCAAAGAAACCTGAAAAAATTCTACTCAGCTGTTTTCAACATAATAATAATAACAAAAATAATAATAATCAGAAATGTTTCTTGAGCAGCAAAGCAGCATATTAGAATGATTTCTGAAGATCATGTGACACTGAAGACTGGAGTAATGATGCTGAAAATACAGAGCAATAAATTACAGTTTAACAGATATTCACACAGAAAGCAGTTATTCTAAACAGTAAAAATTATTTCACATTATTACTGCTTTTGCTGTATTTCTGATCAAATAAATGCAGGCTTGGTGAGCAGAAGAGACTTCTTTCAAAAACGTTCAAAAAATCTTACTGTTCAAAAACTTGTGACTGGTAGTGTATGCAATGCTGTGTTTGGTCAAAAGTTATCTTAGAATTACTGTCTGAAACATACGCAGCACACATCTATGATTTGGAACAGGTTTCTCATTCTGCCCCAAACGCAAGAGGAAGGTTCTATCATTAAAATCGCTCCACCTGACGTGTCTTCAGTGCTCTGGAGTTCGAGTGACGTGCTTCTGTCAATCACGCAGTACCTTGTACTTCCCTTTCACAATGGCTTCAAACAGACGCTCCTTGGTGCCGTAAAAAGGCAAACAGCCGCTCAACAGAATGAAGAGAATGACCCCGCAACCCCAAACATCCACCGGCTTCCCGTACGGCTCTCGCTTGACCACTTCAGGAGCCATGAAGTGAGGGGTCCCTACCCGACCTACACACACATAAAGAGACAAAAACAGGCCCAGAGAGTTCAGAACAAATCAGAGCAAAGGGCTGCACTTCCTGTAAACATGATCTGCTGTGGTGCGAATACACACGTACCTCCAGCCACCAGCCCTGACTCGCCCAGCTGAATCGCCACGCCGAAGCCGCCCAGTTTAACAGGAGCAGAGTTCTCCTTCGAGGCCAGCAGCACACAGTGAGGCTGAACACACACACACACACACACACTTGAAAACACTGAATGTGTCCTACATAAAGCCACATGTGTTCTCATGTCACCTTCACTACATGAGATTGTGTGAGAATGAAATGAGAGGACACACGGAACAAACCCTTTATAGGAATCATGCAAATACGGCGGTTCAACACAAACCACAAATATATGAGTGAACATGGCACTGCTAAACTAGTGTGTAACGGCCCATGTAACGCCACTAGAGCGGAGCGGAGACGACACACATATCTCTGTGTGCTCAAGAGTCAAACACAGAGAGAGAGAGAGAGAGAGAGAGAGAGAGAGAGAGAGAGAGAGAGAGAGAGAGAGAGACACACACAGAGGAGGGAGAGAGAGCGAGCGAGCAGATGCAGCGACTGCAGGAGCTTCTGAGCGTTTAGAAGGGAAGCAGAAACACATCAGACGCTTGAGGAGGAATTAAAAGAGGATCTGACACAAAAACCAAACCCTCTGTGTACCGTCTGAATGGATGAACGTGCAGCTGTAGTTTGTGCAACTGAAGGAATTAACAAGCAAAACTGTGAGTAGAACTTATGCATCTGTGTGTGTGAGATTAAAGTGTGTGCGCGAGTCATTCTACAGACGCCGTTAGTGATGACTGAAAAATCTGGAAAAAAGAAAACAGAAATGTGTGTGCATGATTACACTTCATACTAGCGTCTGAAAAAACACTCCTCTAGTTAAAAGAAAACAGTTTGAACGACTCAAAATATGCTAAATGTAAAAAAATAAACCAATTTTAGCATGCATCGATGAAGGTCCTCATGAGCGTTTATGTGCGAAGCATCATGCAATCATTTCTGAAATGTCAGCAGTCGTCAGACACGCAGAATTATGATTAATCAAGCTTTAAATTAACATTTTTAATTTTACTATTTACAGCAAAAAAATCAAATAATTATCAAAATGAAATCCTTTGCATTACAAATACATGCAAAAAATGTGAAAGTAATTTCTTAGCAGACGGCTTCATTCAGAGCAACATACTAATGACAATAATATAAGCAGAAGTGGTTTACGAAAAAACTATACTAGAGCAGAAGAGCACAAAAAAAGTGCTGGTTAATGAGTCGAATGTTCCCGGTAATGATGTAAAACGCTGCACTGTCATACAGTCTAATGACTGAACTATCTCCAGCTGTAAATTAGATTCAACTTTATTTTCACTGTGCAAAATACAAGTATGTATATGCAATGTGCAGAGTACATATAGTATGTGCATTAAATATCATTATGGTTTTCTATAACGTGAAGGTTATGAGATGAGAAAGCAGAGAGCAGCTCTCCCAGCGCAGCTGTAGAATGAGCCACTCTACACTCACAGCGAAGCCATAGAAGAACCATTTTTGGTTCCACAAAGAACCATTCAGTCAAAGAACCATCTCTTTCTTATGTTTTTGTAATCTGAAGAACCTTCTTTCGCCACAAAGAAGCTTTTGTGAAACAGAAAGGTTCTTCAGATGTTTAAGGTTCTATATGGAACCATTTAGACAAAAAGGTTCTTCTAATCTATAGCATCGTGAAGCACCTTTATTTTTAAGAATGTACAGTTCTAAAACACACATTCATGAAAGATGCAAGGAGAGCCAATCCTTCAGTTTTATTCAAACACACGCTCATCCAGAAAAGAGCTGCGAAGCAATTCCAGCTTTCTTTAAATAATTTAACAAAGCTAAAATTATCTGGAAGGAAGGAATGGAAAATCGGTTCCCCGAGAGCAGCTCCTGGGACGTTTGCCTGACCATGATTTACACTCTTCCTTCGGAGCCAGAGCATTCTCTCGTTTCATTTTCATTGGGCCGAGATGGAATTTTCCCCTGTTGTTCAGTACAGTGAATTAAAACGTGTCTGACTCGCTGTTTCTCCCCCCAGAGCTGAAGACTCGAGCAGAAAGACTTCACCCCGATCGCTCATAAGGAGATAAAAACACAAGCATCCTGCCGAACACGATGAGCACCGTCTGGCCAACTGACGGCTTCACCAACCACACCTTCAGCAACCGCTCGTGTCCTCTGGAGGAGGAGAACCTGCGGCTCCCGCTGGCGGTGCTCTACTCGCTCATCTTTCTGTTCGGTCTGGCAGGAAACCTGCTGGCTCTGTGGGTCTTCTTCTTCCTGCACTCGCGCAGAAACTCCGTGCGCGTCTTCCTGATCAACGTGGCGGTGGCGGACCTGGTTCTGCTGGCGTGTCTTCCCTTCCGTGTGCTGTACCACGCTCAGGGGAACGTGTGGTCTCTGGGGCCGCGCATGTGCAAGGCGGTGGGCAACCTGTTCTACATGAACATGTACGTCAGCATCACCCTGATGGGTCTGATCAGTCTGGACCGCTATCTGAAGATCATCGGCGTGCGGGGCTCTCAGAGGGGCTGCGGGCCGCGCTGGCTCAGGGGCAGCCGCTGGAGTCTGGTGACCTGCGTTCTGCTGTGGAGCGGCTCTCTGGTGATGGTGGTGCCTATGATCGCGCTGGCCGAGGGCAACGAGGAGCCGGGGAAGTGTTTCCAGTACAAGCAGAGAAAGCACGCTAGAGGCAAAGCCTACTTTAATCTGTTCATGGTGGCGGTGTTCTGGCTGGTGTTTGCGGTGCTGCTGGTTTCATACGGACGGATCGCACGCAGACTTCTGCGAGCATCGCGGGACAAACCAGACCTGCCCAATGCCTTGCGCTACGCCCGCACCGCTAGGAAATCCTTCGTGGTTCTGCTTCTCTTCACCATCTGCTTCGTGCCATATCACGCCTTCAGGGGCTTCTATGTTGCTTCGCAGCTCCGAGATGTTAGCTGCGAAACGCGGCGGCTCATGGACCTCACCAACGAGCTCATGCTGCTGTTCTCGGCTCTCAACAGCTGCTTGGACCCCGTCATGTACTTCATGCTCTCGGGCTCGGTGCGCAAGGCCACCACTCAGGCCTTATCGCAATTCCTACACTTGCACCAGGAACCTGCGATGACCAACAGCTCGACCACGGAGTTTCGGAGGACGTCTGTGTCACACGCCTCCAATGCTCCGGTGCTGGTCACATCCAGAGGCAGCCTGGGACTCATTACGACGACCCTCCGCCTTCAGCAGTGACGGAGAGTCCTGTCCGCAGATCACGGCTCTGTCAAACTGATCGAGCTGCACTGTGAGACGAAAGAGTTCACCCACATACTTGCATGGGAAAAGACTCACTGGTGTGAAACAATGACTAGCTTGAAAAGTCTGCGTGGGAAAGTTCTTGAGACGTCACTTCGAGGGGCATGTGAGGGATTTATGGCTGGACGCAGGAGACTGCCACACATCTGGTCTGAGATTTGAGATCGGACAGACACAACCATCATTGAAATCTCAAACTCATTTCAAGTTCAACAGATGAACACTGACTGGATGAAGGCCAGTAACTCAAAGAGAGTTACTGCACCTCCTTTCAGCATTTTACAGTGGACTGTTCCTTCATAAACCAGAGCTGTGCAAAAGGAACCAGTGCCACTCTCCTCATGTAAACCAATGGCCAGTGATAGTTTGATCTCACACAGCATGTTCATCTGTAAACACAGCAGCTGCTGAGTCAGTGATCTCATGAACTTCAGACACAACCGATCTGCGTCCAGCTGAAGCGCCAATCTGACAATAACCCCACTTTAATCACAGATGGACGTCACATTAGACGGGGTTCCTGACGGTGCAGCTCATGTCAGCGGTTCCAACGCTTTCTGACCATCTCAGTCATCTGTGACCACGAGCTGTTGAAGATCATCGTGACATGACTGACTTTTCAACTGTTTCTAAATTCACGTAGCTCAGACTGTAGAGTAACACCAGTCATGGGTTTGATTCCCAGTGAATGCACGAGTGAAAGTGTCTGCCAAATGCATAAAAGCAAATGTCTGTTTAAAGTATATTAAACAGGGGAATAAAGCATTATTAAGAGTGTTTACAGTTTGTCTCACTTAACACTGATATTAATAACTGGCTCATGGCTCAAAAAAATGCAACAAAGAAAAGGACACACATGTTTTGCCTAAATTAACTCTAGGTTTATTAACAAAATAGAAAATAAAACTAAAGTGGTAAATGGCTCCTTTAAAGGACACAAGGTGTGTGTGATGAAGCCATTTACAAAGGAATCGTCCATCTACCCTACAAAACCCCAGGAAGAGCCTTAAGTGTACTTAACTCTTTCCCCGCCAGCATTTTTGAAAAAAGTTGCCAGCGATTTTGATGATTTTCACTAAAATTTGATGGCCTCCAGTATATTTTGCTGTATGAATATTTGAATATGCAATACACCAAAATAACCTCTACTTTTAAACAAAAAAATCTTTTTTATTCTAGCTTAAAGCATTCTTTTTTTATCAACACTTGAATATAGGTAGGTTTCATAAATGCATAATTGTGAGCAAAAAGGTGAGAAAATCAAATTTTTATCAAAAACTACATCTGGATAATATTCAGTACGATTATCAAAGCATAAATCCAGTAAATCGCTTCCATCAACACCTCCAAAGCTTGCACAGACATATACCACTTCCTAAATCAACATTTTACTCCTTAACATTATGCAGTTTTCATTTATATGCTGTCTATTGCTGATGATTTTCATATGCATCTGTTTACATAAGAGATGGCTCGTTTCTCCATCCTGTTCACCTGTGTTTTTGTTTGGGAGGTTTTGTACTCGTTCAGAAGATGTGTAATAGCGCCCCCGAGTGTATAACAGTGAAAACACGGAAAGCCGTAAAAACTCGTCTTTGGCTGGGAAGCGGTTTCTTGTAAAAGATGAGATAACTCGTCACTGGCGGGGAAAGAGTTAAAAGCGAAAGTCACAGGTTAGGGTTAGTGAGCAATAATCAATCAAGACGAGTCTCACCTTGACATCTCTGTGAATGACGTTGTTATCGTGGCAGTAGCGCAGAGCTTCAAGTATCTGTCGCATGTAGTGACTGAGAACACAAACAACACACAGCCTGAGCACAAATCTTCAGCAGTGTGTGTGTGTGTGTGTGTGAGAGAGGTGAACAGGTAGTGATTCTCACCTGGACACAGCCTCGCTGTAGACGAAGCCGGCATCGGCCCTCTTCACGATCTCGAAGCACAGATCAGCTCCATCCATACTGCACAAAGACACACGCGGTTTAATAATGCGGCGGATGAATTTAAATGTGAGAATGATGAAGAAACATTGTTTAAAAACTTGTGGATGCTTGTCAGAAAAGTTGAAGCTGTTAGAAGTGGAGTTAGTGGCTTACAGAGCAACAACACAACTTGTTTTGTTTTCTAATACAAGTGTGATTATTTTGAGTCCGTTGTGTGAATCTGTTTTTACACTGATATCAGACTGATTCATTCAATTTGATATGAATTATCTGATCTTTTGAAAATAGGATTATATTCAATGGACTGTACAAAAATAGGCATTAGCACATGATCATATGTGACCCTGGAGCACAAAACCAGTCTTAAGGGTCAATTTTCTGAAATTGGGATGTATACATCATCTGAAAGCTGAATAAATAAGCTTTCCATTGATGTATGGTTTGTTAGGATAGGACAATATTTGGCTGATATACAACTATTTGAAAATCTGGAATCTGAGGGTGCAAAAAAATCTAAATATTGAGAAAATCATCTTTAAAGTTGTTCAAATGAAGTTCTTAGCAATGCATATTACTAATCAAAAATTAAGTTTTGATATATTTACAGTAGGAAATTTACAAAATATCTTCATGGAACATGATCTTTTTTTGGAAAATGATCTGTATTTTGACCCATACAATGTATCGTTGGCTATTGCTACAAATATACCCCAGCGACTTAAGACTGCTTTTGTGCTCCAGGCTCACATTTGATAAACTATTTTTCCATTAAATCTGAATTTCATTGAACAGCATGACTGTGATATGAAATGGCTCATGTTTTATTTATAAGATCTCACAGACACTTACAACTCAAAGACCATGTAGAGCATCCCGTCGGAGCTGTAGGTCTCCAGCAGCTCCACGATGTGAGGATGTTTGAGCATGTGACAGATACTCGCCTCCCGCTTCAGATCTGACGGGGAACAGACAGAAGATCAGTAACAGATTCATCACCTTACTGAAGATGAGAGGCATCAGTGTGACTAGACAAACATGTGAGATCATGAGCCTGACGTCACGAGATCACACGAGCCGCCAGCAGAGGGAGCCGTGGAGCGTCTCATTCACACACACACACACACACACACACACACACACACACACACACCACCTTCAGCAGAACTCATGAATGACTGTGTGTGTGTGTGTGTGAGTCTCTGAACATCAGACGCATCTTCAGCCTTTACAGAGCAGCTTCAGATCACAGTAAACATCATAAACCAGCCGTCCTTATGCAGCTCTCTATGCACACCTTGACAATAGAAACGCCATTGGCTAGTAAATTTTTTAGTTTACTCGCACTGATATACTATTTTTATATACATATATCAGTGTTTCCCCTGCCATTATATTAGGGGGGGCGGCCCCCCCCCCCCCCCC